CACCACAGAACTCGGGCGTTTCGAAACCGTCTGGTCTGGTCTCGAATAAAACTCAGTCCATGTTAGGTCGGCGAGTTTCATGATACCATAGGTTGGCCCTTCAATTGAAATCTCACGTACCTTGTCTGGATAAGATTGATGCACTCTCTCATTCTAATCACATGACACTCACTCTCTCATTCTAATCACATCACACACACACACCCATTCTAACCACATCACACACACTCTCTCATTCTATTCACTTGACACTCACTCTCTCATTCTAATCACATCACACACACACACTCATTCTAATCACATCACGCACACATACTTATTCTAATCACATGACACTCACTGTCTCATTCCAATCACATGACACTCACTCTCTCATTCTAATCACATGACACTCACTCTCTCATTCTGTGCTCAGCTGAACAAGTGGATCGCTACACTGCCATCAAGGACAGTATGAAGCAGGTAACAGCCCCGTGCGACAAAGGGGTTCCTCTTTAAATGTCAATGGTTGGAGGGAGAGAGTGTCATATTATAATAAACATTTCACACTCTCATGCTATATTACATATCACACACTCTTCTCTTCTCTCCATGTTGTACACCTCCGCAGCTAAAAGATCAAGTGGCTGTGTGCTGCATCGCTATCAAACCACTGCTGGCGTTAAAAGAACAACCCACCGAGCTTAAGACTAAAGGGCAGCCACTGATAGTAGCTATAGTGCCCACTATCAAGCAAGTGGTGGCTACTATACTGCAACACGTGCCTGTGACTCACGAGTATGTGGGGTGTTCTATGGGTGCTATGTGTACTGAGTGTATATAGTGTATATAGTGTGTGGGGTGTACAATGGGTGTTAAGTGTACTGAGTGTATATAGTGTATATAGTGTGTGGGGTGTACCATGGGTGTTAAGTGTACTGGCTGTATATAGTGTATAGAGTGTGTGGGGTGTACTATGGGTGTTAAGTGTACTGAGTGTATATAGTGTATATAGTGTGTGGGGTGCACTATGGGTGTTAAGTGTACAGAGTGTATATAGTGTATTTAGTGTGTGGGGTGTACTATGGGTGTTAAGTGTACTGAGTGTATATAGTGTATATAGTGTGTAAGTCTACTGGGTGTATATAGTGTATATAGAGTTTGTGCTGATGGAAGCAAGTGGTGGTTACTATACTACACCATCTACTAACATACCGTGAATCTTCATGTTATGATATATACCTATAGCATACCATAGTAGTGTGATATAGCGTAGTATAGTGTACTATAACGTAGTATAGTGTACTTTAGTGTACGATAGTGTAGTACAGTGTAGTATAGTGCACTAGAGCGTAGTATAGTGTACTATAGTGCACTATAGTAGTATACTATAGACGTGTACTGTAGTAGTGTACTAGAGTAGTGTATTATAGTAGTGTACTATAGTAGTGTGGTATAGTAGTGTACTGTAGTAATGTACTATAGCGTAGTATAGTGTACTATAGTGTAATATAGTATAGTATAGTGTACTATAGTAGTAGTGTACTGTAGCGTAGTATAGTGTACTATTGTGTACTATAACATAGTATAGTGTACTATAGTAGTAGTGTATTGTGGCGTAGTATAGTTTACTTTAGAGAAATACAACATAGTATAGTGAACTATAGTAGTACTGTACTATAGCGTAGTATAGTGTACTATAGTACACCTTAATGTATGTGCCTGTAGTATACATTCCTGTAGTGCGTTTGGCAAGGAAGACGTTAGGTACAACCATAGCACAAATCAATCAAAAAAAATGTATGATACACATACACTCTCATAAGCATGCATACACACATTTAGATATATTCATGCCAACAAAAGCATATGTAACCATTGTGAACTGCACGTATATACACATTCCCAAATAAACGCACGCACACACAAACAGAGATAGACACACACGCAGAAACACACACACACACACACACACACATATA